ACATCCGCAATGATCCATCTTTTTTCTTCACAAATAGAATTGGAGCTCCTGCCAAAGATTTAGAATGGCATATGAAATTCTTGGCTAGATTTTCTTCAATATACTCCTTGAGTTCAGCTAACTTATTTTGTGATAAACTGTAGATTGGTCTGAATGGCAGTTGTGCTCTTTCTTGAAGGTCAATTGAACAATCATAGGGACGATGTTTCGAGAGTGTATCCACATTCTTTTTTTTAAATACATCTTGAAATTCTTGATATTGGCTTGGAATGCTACTTGAAGTCTTTTCACCAGTAGAAACGGGTGTGGCATAAATAATATATGGTGATTCTTTCATAGCAGCATGCAAGAAAGCTTTTGCACCTATAAATACGGGTTTAATTGAACTGGACTTATGACTCTCTACTTGATTAACTACACTGTTAGTTATACTTTTAGAAAAAGTAAGAGTTTGGAAAATCCAATCTATTTGAGGGTTGTATTTTTCTAACCACGATAAACCTAAAATGACTAGATTAGAGGGAGATCTAATGATATTAAATATTACAAAACTATTATGACCATTGATTATTACATCTATAGGAAGGGTTTCGTGAGTAATATCTCCAGAAGACAATGGACGACCATCTATGACTTCTACATGAATAGGTTTAGTTTTCTTTACTAAAGATATGCTATATCTTTTAGTAAATTCTTCATCTAAAAAACACGCTGAGGCTCTGAAATCTAACAAGGCAGAGACTTTGTAATGTTTAGGTCCTAAAATAACATTTAATGTAAAACAAGGAGAGGGCTTTGAGGAGAGAATAGGACCTTTACTAGATGTTGTGCAAGGTTCAAGCCGCATGGTCCCTATTGTAACTGGACAAACTCGTTTTTCGACATATTATCTTCTTTCACAGCCATACTCCTCATTTTGTGATTGCGTCGTTTCTTTGGACAATGTTGAGCAGTGTGCTTTGGTTCTCCATAATATAAACATAATCCTTCTTGACGACGACGAATCTTTTCTTGCTCAGTAAGAGGTTTGAAACATACTGCATCAATTTGCATATCCTCTACTTCTGAATGTATGTGTTGAAGAGGTGTTGGTATTGCCATTGAATTATAGTAACGTTGAGGTCCACTTGTACGGTTCTTAGATCGGAATTCAAAAAGGCAATTGTCACACTTCACAGCAAAGTCAATTGCTTGACTCAATGTTTGAGGATCAGGTAAGTTGAGCATTAATTTTTTTACCTCATATTATAATCCATAGAGAAATTGGCTAATAAGTGCAACATCATCCCACTTGATATCAGTTGCAAGTTGTCAAAATTGTGAAGCATATAACGTTACTGATCGATTGCCTTATAGTAAAATACGGATCTTATTGGTTGCAACACGAATTGCATCATGTTCTCCATATATGGATTGAAACTCCGCCAAAAAAGCCTCTAGATTATCTAATATTGGATCTCGTCGTTCAAAAAAAGATGAAAACCACGATAGTGCTGAACCTAAAAGAAGCATACCAATGAATCTAACTTGCGATCCTGGAGTTGGATAGCTTTGGGGTTGAAGTTCAATCACAAGTTGCACTTGATTGATAAATCCTCGAAACTTGGATTTGGTGCCATCAAACTTCTCGGGTAGGGCAATTCTTGGTTCTCTAACATTTGAAGGACATTCCACCATAGGAGGAAGGACATGGTTTGGTGCAGATGTTGAAGCATCTCCAACCATTTCTATATCTTTACTTCCTGCCAATCTTGTTGCTCCTTGTGGTGGTAAATTGAGTTGATGCATCGCAAGCATTAACTCCCTCAATTGCTCTTGCATTTGTGCCATTGCACTCTTCATTTCAACAAGTTCTGCCATGATAACACTTAAAAGAGAGAAGATGTCAAATATCGCTCAAGACAAATAGAAGGGAGGACTTGAGAAAAAAAAAAATACTAAAGACAATATCAGTTTAGAAGAGGGTAACCCACAACTTCTAATATGCTTATATACTATCAAGAAAAAGGAGTAATCCACTCTTAATCAAGATTAGATAAAGCTCTGATATTGTAGGTGTACTCTTGTCAATCTGTCAAGGACAAGAACTCGATGAAAAAATAATTCAGACAAGTGAGCCTTCACTCAAAAAGAGGTAACAAAATATATATAAACAAGTATATATATTGAAAGAGAAACTAGAATGGCTATTGCCAAAAGACAAGAAAACTAGAGACCCTTGAAACTAGACTAGAAGCAAGAAAGGAGTTGACAAGAGTGAAGAAGCCTTCACTCTTGTCTCTATATATACTATTTAACTAGGGGCTATGTGGCGACGTTCTATAGGACCTCCAATATGTGTTGACTTTGTAGGATACATGCCTTGACTTACAAGGCAAGTTTTTCTACGTGTGGGCCACATAATTAGCTTGATCTTCAAGCTAGCAACATGTGTGGCACATGGCCAACTTGTTGACCACGTTTCTAATCCAAAAAGTCAATTAAAGACACCTATGAAGTCGAAGCAGCATCTATGAAGCTTCCATATTAAATACTATAGAATTAACTTACTTTTACCTACTTTTACTTACTTCTACCTATTTGTATATATAATTACTAACTTACATGAGTATGTCCATGACAGTTTGTGGCACTTGATGTGATGTGTGTTACAATCTTTATTTATATAACAAGAAACAATTTATTCACAATTATAGAAATTTCTCAAAAAGACCATATGAATTTTTTTTGTAACATTACTCTTCAATTAATTAAAGAATCTATTATAGACATATATAATTATCTTAATAAGAAATATTAGATAAAATCTAAATGTAGATAGATTTGATAATATCTTGCAGTGATGCTTCTTAGAAGCTTTATAGATGCAGATTTGATTTTAGACATGTTTGTTGTTGATAGATAGGTTAGAAACTTAGCCAACAAATTAGCCAGGTGTTGCATATGTTGGCAGCTTGTGGTACAAGCTAAGCATATGATGCACATATAGGAAATTAGTTTTATAATGTATATGTTGGACACTTATATAAGATTTTATAGAACGACATTATATAACTCTTACCAATGTCTTTCTTGTCAATGCCTTTTTTATTCTTACTCTAGTTTTAAGACTCTTTATTCTTTTTGTCTTTGGCAATAGCCATTCAAGTTCTAATTAGATACTACTTTGAGTGATTATATATTCTATTTGAGTGACATAAGAGTGATTTGAGGATTTTATTGTTGTGATTGATGTCTTTAATAGAATCTCATAATTATCATAGGTACATAGTTTTGTGCCCCAAAATCTAGCTTCAATTTTAGTTTGCAACAAGTCTCCTTGAAGTGTCAATATTTGATTTCTTTAAATTAACCTTATTAGAACTACCTTTTATTTCTACCTAAATATGCTCAAAATAGTTTTTTTTTTCACTAATCTACTTTATTTTTTTTTGTTATGTTTATGATTCTACAAAATAATTTGAAGAATATTTTTATAAAAAGGCAGCATTAACACTAAATATTTTTACTATATTCTTGTCATTTACCTATGTTTCTTTTCAATGTATTTTTGTATTATATTTTTCAATTAAATTCCTCTATAATATAATCCATATATTTTTCTTTTATTTAATAGCTTTCTTATAACACAATAACAAAATATATATATATATATATATATATATATATATATATATATAAAAATAAAAATGTATCAAATATATTTTTTTATATAAAAATATATACAAAAAATATAACTAATTGAATTAAAAATAAAATAAAAATATAATGTATAAATAATAATTTTTTTTTTCAAAATACTAAAAAAATCTCTTAAATCTAGAGATTTCATAAAATATTGAATGCAAATATAAAAGCATTTAATAAAAATAATTTACATCTAAATAGTCATTATAGAAGTATCTCACAAATTGGATACTTAGTCTACAAACTTGATAGTTCTTATAAAGTAGGTAGATTGTATTCTTATTTGCTAGTCCATTTAGAAGTAAGATTAAAACTATTTTTAATTATCTCAATATATATATATATATATATTTCAAACTTTGATTTATGAATCTTTAATTATTTTTATTTTAAAAAATATTTGTTTTTTTATCTTTGATTTTATAAATTTACATCTTATGTACTTTTTTTTTAGTTATATATATATATATATATATATATATATATATACTATTTTAAAATTTTATAAATATTATTAAAAATGATTATGCCAAATAAATCAATAAAAAAAATTATAATATTTACTAGTATATATTAAAATTATTTGTGTAGTATTTTCTTTGTTAATTTTTTTTTTGTGAACTTTCTTATCAATTATTCAAGGTTATTACGAGGCACGTTATAGGTAGAATAGAAATCATCTTTGCCAAGGCCCAATCATCTAGATTGGTTGGTTTAGCCTTAGCAACCAAGTGACCTTGCCATAATAGTGTACAATTTCAAGGGCTATACAATTTCAAGGGCTATGCTAGTCAATTGGCTTAGCTTCACCTAATCACATACATCCACATGGCTTTTGTTAATAATCTTTGTTAAATAAAAAAAAGTCAATAAAAATCAATTATTAATTTTAAATAAGTGACTATTAATTATGCACCATACAACATAATTAATTTCTGAAACTTTGATCAACTATTTGATTAACTATTTGATTAAAATTTCTGAAGTTTAATTAACAAAAAAATTATTATAAACTCTTTTCAATACAACAAATCCTTGTAAGATACAGAAGAATTTGAAATCAAATGCATTTTATCCAAGAAATACAAAACATAATATTCCGTTGCTTAGATTTGATACACCACGTACGAGTGATAGTAGACCCCAAAAATGCAATCACTTTTGACGCATTCTCTAATACAAAAACGAACATAATCTTGTGCACTACGCTGAGAAAGTCTTGTGGGTAAAGATGGGCACCGACACCTACTTCTAGCGGCAAGTCAAGCCGAAGAACGACAAGAGTGAACCAATTTTTTTTGCTACCATCCTCCGATGTGGATGTCGGTTTAGGACGCCTCGGAATATCAGCCAGTGGGTGTGGTATCCCCTGGCGTTTGGGTTTGCGGGAGGAATTGGTTGCGGATTCCGCTTGCAAGCATGGGTATAGGGGGGATGAAGATAAAACTCTTTTCATGAGAAGAGGATGAAGAAGTTTGCCGATCCAAGAAAGGGTAGAGAAGAGCAGCTGCTCGGATTCAGTCAGCTTGAATGAAGTCTGGGTCCTAGGGACGACATTCCACTGCCAGCCTAGTCATGTTCTGGTCTAGCAGTTAGGGGTTACGAGGCGACCATTTGTTCCGCCGAGTAATTTTGGTTGCTGATGGTAGTTGGGTGCATTGGGGATTTGAGTGTTGGGATTTTACGAGGAAGAATTTGATGGCGGCTTCCAGATGTGTGGGTTTTGCATTGCCCCTGCAGACTGGAGGAGCTGGATGGCGCAGGAATATTGAGCTGCAGGCCGGGAGGAGATCAGGATGGGCGGGGGATAACTTGTTTTTGCAATTAGGGTTAAGACGCCATGGTTGCGTGTGTCTGGCAGCTGCGAATTACGACTCTGGGTACAAGCGGAGTTCTCCCAAGAGGTCAGAGTCGAAGAAAACGGATAAGTATGGCTCGGTTGCTGAAGTTTCTGACTCTGGGAGACAAACTAGAAAGCCCTCTCGAGGGCAGAAAAATGAGGTGAGGTGCCTCCGACAATTGGCCGTAATCTTACTTTATTTTTATTGGTACTTTTTATTCCTAATTGATTGCAAAGGTTTTAACTTGTATCCTATCGTTTTCTCGTACAAGTCTGCTGTAGCGTTAAGAAAAGGAATGTCCAATTGTAGCGTGAGTTGAAATATGCAGTGCTCATCGATTGTCGTGCTCGAGCAGTGCGTTCTCTTTGGACATAGAACGGAGTCCTAAACCCAGAGTTTTATGGTTGGAGAACTCCGAGGATTATATTTTTCAGATACGTGAAAATTCTACAGGAAGCACAGTCAGAAATATTACAACCTTTAGTATACTTCTCCCATGCCTGTATATGCCATTGAGAGTTGACATTTCTTGTGTTGTTTGTACGTGCAGAAAAAAATTGCAATTAATGTTGATGAAATCAATACACCGCCAATGCCGTTGTTGAAGCCTTTAGCTGGATTTGTTCTGGATGATACGGGGAAAGTTGTTGTGATGGCTCCTCCCCAAAATCGAACTGTCACAATTGTAAGCATTCTAATAGAAAGAAAGGCTCTTTTGAGCACTGAAAATCTCCTGGGATTCTTTGACATCCGTTCTCTTGGATGTTTATCTTGATGAAACTTTCTCTAGGGCTTGGTAGTTGATTGCCAGTTTCGGAGACTCTTATTTTGTATGTGGATGAGAATGCTCTTCACAGAAGCTGTATTTGTGGGTGCAGGTTGACCCAGTAACTAAAAGACCACTAGAATGCATCATTAGAAGAGCTTTCTCGAGTTCCACTGGGGAGCAATGTTTTCTTCTGTTACCGCTTGATATGTAAGGTGTCTTAGTTTCTACTAGTGCTAGTATATTTAAAGCGCTGCACAGCTTCTTAAAACCCGAGTTGCTCACACAGGAATCTAGTTCCTTCTTTGAAATTTTGCTTGGTTCGTAGTCAACATAGAATCAACAAATAATTCAGTATCTTGGCATTTTTTGGTTCATCAATCATGCAGCTGCTGTCATCTATTTGAATCTTATGTATGATAGAACTTCGGGAGGTTTCCAAGTTCCTAATTTTTTCGAATGCTTTGAGTGCACGCAGGCCCTTGCAAATTTTGAAAATAGAAGAGGAACGTGAAGGTTTGATAGAGGTGAGTTCTCTACAACTCGCAAGTATTTCACTGCGTGGTAAAGTTTGATCTGAACGATTATTTTCTATTAGTTTTGTCTATAATGGTAGTGATGGAACTAACTTGGGCACTCTCTTTTCCACAGTTGAGTGATGCGGAGCTGAACGAGGTGCTACCTAGTGCAGCGTATGCACTTGCCAAAAGCCGACTTCATCTCATTGTTAGTGGGTACGTTTGACCTAACTGCTCAATTTTTTTACTTTTTCGCAGAATTTAATTCTCTTCGTGGGTTTCGGTTCGAGTTGCACATTTTGATGTCTACTTATTCATTCTTAATTTTTAAGAACTCTGTAGTTCGTGATCTCTTACGTGTCGTGCATCTTTTGCCAGGTTCTGTCTGACAGCTCGGGGAGGTTTCTGCTATACTGAAAAGGATGTTATAGATTTGAATACTGGTAAAATTACGACACTATTCTCAACGATTTCCCTAACCTTTTGGGCTTATTCTGTGTTTTGTGCATACGAACTTACTCATTGACATTTCCCATTGTGCAGAGTACGGCGAGGGTTTGGGCGGTTCACTGGCTGAGGGGGTAGAGGTTGCCACTTTTCAAATGGTATTATAACAAGCATTGTTATTTCCAACTGATAACTTTTTTTTCTTTTTTTTTTTGTCGTAATACCAAGAGTTGTATAGCCGAGGAGGATACTGAATTAATTCTTTGACCTGCAGACTGCACATTTTAACTGATATCTCTTGCTGTGGGTGATTGCTCGTTCAGGATAACAATCAATATCTAATGTATACACCATTCGATCCCCTTATGTTCGTTGCTCACAAGGTTCATCTTCAAACTGTTTCCTTGCATTATTATGCTTTATAATCCAAGCATCAAATAACTCTTTGAATCTCACATGATTGTTCTGCTATGTCTCGTTTTATCAGGACTCTGTAACGGGGGAGTTAAAGATTGCTGATGATGTAAGTTTTTTTATTTTATTTTAATATTGCAGTTCACTTTAATATCTAAACATATTTTTTTATGTGGGTAGTCGGTTGTTGCCATAATGTTTTAAATAGCGATATTAAGCATTCTGCAGTGCATATCACATTTCCCCCCAATCTGTCATTTGAAGCTCCTGTGTCTTCGTGGTTGATCTGCAGGACCTACTGGATGACGAAGCAGTGCTGGACGCCATTGATGAAGAAAATGAGTTCCAAGCCCTTGTGGTGAGCTCCTTCATTGAACCCTATTATTAGAACATTTATTATGCATTTCTTTCCCTTCGTAGTTACTTTCTAGTTTCAAATCTGTTCCCTCCGCTCAATTGGATTTGGCTCAAATGGGCGTGTCTACCTTCTCCAGGATGAAGAAGAAGCAGTCAATGAGGCCTTGAAGACAGCTAAGTAATTGTGCGCCATCAAGTTCAGTTGTTAAGTGTTGGAAGGGGACATGTATTACTTCCAAGCAATCGCTTGTCAGATGTTAACGAATAACTCCGCAGGCAGGCTACAAATTAAGGAACTAGTTCGCACGCTTTACCCATTTATGAGCTGTTAATTCGTTCTGATCTTGTTCTCAAGGGTGAAGTGCTTAGATGAGTCGAGTACATGCTGAGTTTTCTCTTTCATAGAACTTTGACAAAAGCTGTTGCCATCTTCCCAACGGCCTTCTGTCGCTTTGTTAGGAATTAGTCTGTGCAGACGAGTCTACATTAATGCAGCGATTTTGCACTGTTTCCTGATGTAAAGTATGTTTTAGAGATGAAGTATTTGGCATGTCCCAGCAGCTCGTAAGTTTGTGCTGCTGAAGCAAAGAATACTTATCGACTTTCGGTCCTTTCAATTTCATTTAGCATAGCCTTAGCATTTGTGTAAGTTGGAGATTCCCTAATTCATTCTAGTATTAAGCATTTATATGTCCAGACTTCGAAATTCTGCCTTATTCTATCTTGACGAGATTTGTTTGCACTTCATCTATTCTTGAATTAATGGATTTCAGGATGTTGGTGAGTTAACTAATAGCTTTCAGTGGCTCGAAGCTCAGCTTCATTGACATCATCATTTTTTCTACTCTTGGTGATGGAAGCACTGATTTGAGACCAACTGCCTTCAAATTCCTTGAAATATAGTATCTCATCCTAATAATCACAGCAGACACAACAAGAAATTATCTCTGATCCTCTTTTTGTTTCTCATTAATGTTTTTAATTGCAATGTTTTTCCTATTTACAATACATTTGATGTCATGAGAGGTCTTTATAGGCAACAATTCAAGGAGTGGGTCCCAAAATAACGTTCTAATGGGATGTACTTTTGAAAAACTTAAAAGTAGTGAGTTTTGATGAGAAATTGATTCATGAGTATACTTTGAAGGCCATCTTGGTGTGCAAAAATCAAGTTTCAAGAGGGAAATAGTGATGTGTGAGATTATTTTTTTATTTTCAATTTGAATAATTTTTAAAAGTATGGTGGCTACAAAGTAGACATGTCATGATATTTGAAGTGTATATTAAAGATGCTCTACACAAAAAAATAATAGAGTTATATATATATATATATATATATATATTTTGGTTATTTGATACTTTGTAATTAATATTCTTTGCTTACTAGTATTTGTTGTAATTGAGGTTATTCCTAAGTTACAAATTTACATCTCTTTTCTAATATTTCTTGCATAATTTATAAAATTCCTATCAATTGAGGTCATAAATTAAGTGGATTATATATATATATATATATATATAGGAATTGACTTTAAATTTTTGGTCGCTTTTGTATATCAATATATGTCTAAAATTAGACCTATGTATTGGATAGTAGTAACAAAAATTATGAAGTATTTAAAAGACATGTAAGACATCAAATTATGCCTTGGAACTAAAAAATTTGGATTATAAGAATTTTGTGAAGCAAATTAGATTAGACATATAAATAATTGAAGATCCATTAAGAAATTTATGTCTTTTTATTTTCTTCAAATAGATTTTATTTTTTGGAATTGTACGAGACAACCTACTATTCTATATTTTACGATAGAAATAAAGCACATGGCTACAAGCCATTATACAATTGAAGTAGTTTGGATAAATCTGCTTTATTAGATATTAGCTAATATAATTCATGATAACTCTACTAATATATAACAACCAAAGATGCATTGTATTTGTAAATTAAAGAATTGAAACCCATATTCTTTTACAAAAAAAATAAAACGTGATGTTTCTTCATTAAAAAAAGAAAAGAAGACTAAAAATGAAATAATAAGTATTATTTATTGTGCAATAGAAGATGTGGTTACTAATTTGCATGTAAATGCTTCTATAGAAGATGAAAAATGAATGCTAATAAAGATATAAGGCTTAAAAATCTTATACCACTTATAAAATATAAGTATTGAAATAAACCTATATCACTAAAAATTACTAATTTAACTACCACCTAAAAGTTTTCATCAATCTAAATTGATAGTAGACAAAAATTGAGGAATAGAAATAATCTAGACAAGTATCAATTAAAGTTTGTATAATATAAAGTTTGTATAATATATATATATATATATATATATATATATATATGTATTTAAATAAATAGAACCATTTTTTCTTACTAAAAAATTCTATATTATACTATCTATTGTATTTGGAATTTAAAAATGAATATTTATTGTTGATAAATACTTACAATAGAACCTATCTTTTAACATGAAAATGTGATTCAAAAAATAAGAATGTTTTACTATTTGTATACAAGGAATGGATTGAATTAATTTCACAAGTATTCTAGTATTTGCTTATAATTAGATGTTATTCAATTAAATTTTTTATTGTTTTAGATATTAAAATTTAAATTCACAAATTTCTTTTCTTTTTAATATTACCAATTTTTTTAAACATTTAATAGATTTTTGGCAGTACTCATTTATTAGATTTTAAATTATTGGTGAAGTAGTATTTATAGAAAGTTTAAATTTTTTTGCTTGATTCTACTATTTTTTGTATAATCTTCTAATTGATGTTAAGCACATATATAATATAGCCCTTATATTGACATATTTGTTAATTATCTATTAAACAAAACCAATCCAACCATTCTACTATTAATTTCTACAATTGATATTTTGATAGATGTAATCCTATAATGACAAAGGGACTAACAAAAATGAAAATTTTACTCAACCAATAAAAAAGCTTTGTATCATAATGGTCAAATCATAAATTGACAAAAAGAGCAAATTAGTTATGTTTTATTTTAGTTGGTATAATAACAATGCAAATACTTAAGTTAGAACATAGAACATCCACCATGAAGAAGTGCCAAAGGAGTTTGAACCTCAAACTACAATTGGTGACATGTAAAGAATTTTGCCCTAAAAGTATTAACAATCTCTTGAAAATCTGCAATAGTTGCAAATCTATTCTTATTTCTACCAAGTAAATAGACACATACGTGAAGGGAAATAGCAGAATTGGTTGCTCAGGCAGGCATTGAGAGGGGAGGAGAGCAAGCAAAGTGCCATAAAGAGTTCATCATGGGGCCAGCCATTCTGGTGCCGGCTACTTGCTCCATCGGCACCGCTGCTTCCAAGGCCTGCATCTCCTCCTCAGTGAGATGCACGCCCACAGCACCCACATTCGACTCCAGATTCGCCACCTTTGTGGTTCCAGGGATGGGGACTGCAAGCCCTGCACCCTTGTGCATCACCCACGCCAAGGCCAGCTGATTCGTTGTGCACTTCTTCTGCTCGGCAAGCTTTGCAACGCACTCCAACAGGTGCTTGTTCTTGTCTAGATTCTCCTTTTGGAAAAAAGGGACCGCCAGCTGCACCACCACTTTGCTTAAGTCAGTATTAGCTCCGTTGTGTCTGTTGTTGAGGAGCGGGGAGGACGTGACATGTCATGAGGACCTTTCTTAACAGGTACTGAAAGGAGAACACAAAAGGGTCGTTACCTTGAACTTGATAATATTACTACTACTACTAAGATTAAGAATAATACAATGCACGGTGGTTATACTTGTGTCGTATAATTGAGTGGTTGACCCTCCGGAAGAGGGAATTGATCGACTACCTTCCGGATGTCATTGTCGGCGAGCTCCTCATGCTTGATGCCAGCAAAGAAGCCTCGTCCAAGGGGGCCGTAAGGCACAATGCCAATACCTAATTCTCTGCACGAAGGCAACGATGACAATGCATCTAACGTCAGTTCAAGCAGGACAATGAACCGCGGCCAGTGAACCGTTACACATGTTCAGAGTTCTCTCTACCTGTACAATCTTGAGAACTTCAGCAATCTGTATCAATGGAATAAACATGTATCAATGGTATAAACATGATTTAACGTTTGAAGATATCTATGTGGGCATGACGCATCAATCACTGTCGGTTTCTGTTTCTGTGAACTTGTAAGGTTGCACTGCGTGCCAGCAGGTATTATTGCTTGATGTGAACATGAATCACTGATGTGCGAAGCAAAAATCTGTCAACCTTTCACTGACAAAAACAACTACATGCGGTCACAGGCATTGCAGTAAAAATACAGCTAGTGGTGCTTGGTGGGCTCGAAATACCTGCAAGTTGGAATGATACCATTCTCCACGTCTCGAACCCACAGAGACCACTCTATCTGGACAGCGGTGATGGGGTGCACCGCGTGGGCGCGTCGAATTTCAGAGGGTGACGCTTCTGAAAGTCCAAGATACTTCACTTTTCCTTCCTCCACCAGCTTCTTCATCTCCCCAACCTGTTTTGCAACATCAACAAGCAACACAACACGCAAGCTGATGGTATTATCCTGGCATTTGGGGTTCGAAAACCTTTCTCATCGCACAAAAAAAAGAATGCGCTTAACAACCCACACTTCTTTATATCCTACTTCTTCTTGTTCTTCTACGGTGGCTTCAGCATCCAACAACACATTGCCACGCATGCAACACAGCACCAAGTATGAAACACTCACCGTTACTTCAATTGGAGTCTTAGTATCCACACGATGCTGGTAATACAAATCAATACAATCGATGCCCAACCGCTTGAGGCTTGCCTCGCAAGATGCACGCACGTGCTCTGGATCCCCACGGATTCCTCGTCTTCCATCGGGGTACGTAACGAGACCGAATTTAGTTGCGATCTGCACCTTATCACGAATGCCGCTTAACGCCTGCACAACCAACAATTTTTCACGACTCAATCTGTATGATTCGTAATAAACTGAACAAGAAAGCATTAGACAAAATGTCGGATTAGAAGACCTAAATTTAGTAAAAAGAAGAACTTGTTGAGACGCGAAAAACTTCTTACTCAGATCTGTATCGACGCAATACGCAACAGCCATTTATAAACGCTCCGGCAGAGCATCACCAATACCCCACGAAATGGGTAGCGGTCCAATGCCTAAGAAAAGTACCCAAACCATAAAAATAAAAATAAAAATGAAATTTGAATGTAGCTATTTATTGGAGTCATGGTCGATTAACCACCACCCTCCATTCTAGGCTGCAAGGTTAAGAAAGGCAAAGGAATGCGTCACGTTACCTTGCCGACCAACATTTCGTTAGTGTGCGGACCATAGACATCCGCAGTGTCGAAGAGCGTGACACCCAAATCCACGGCGTGTCTGATGAGCTTCACCATCTCGGCTTCATCCTTGGGAGGTCCATAGAAGGACGACATGCCCATGCATCCCAACCCAAGGGCCGAAACTTCAAGACCTTGCGAACCCAACTTCACTCGAGGGATGGCAGGCAGGGAGGAGGTCGTCATTGCTTCCGGATTCAACAGTTCTCAAGCTCTTAGAAACTAGGATTCTGCCCTGTCGAGACAATGAACGGGTACGCGTCAGAGGAGCAAGAGGTGTTGGATGGGGCTATGGGAATTAGGCTTTGAAGGGCTACAGGTGAAAGATACCGGAGTCTACCTTACACACCGAACGTCAACTGGAACAATCATTAGCGATTGAGGAATTCGCTGTGGTGGGCTCCTAAAGCGGACACCTGCTTTTGACTTCGAGATGGCCACAGAGCGATCACACTCTACAATCAGAATTTTCAAAATTCCATATCCATCAATTGTTCTGCTTCCCATTAGAATTCTGACACAAACTCGAACATTCTCGTGAGAAGATCTCATAAAACAGGGAAAAAACGGCGATCCTGCACGTCGAGTCATCAAACAAGGCAGCCAACCGTCAACATGGGTCTGCTCAGCCATTGAATGTCAAACCTCTGACTGGAAGTGACTCTGCTGAGATTAGAGTGTGGTGGGCCACCAGCTTGACCGTGAGCACGACGACCCGATCTTGTGTGTCCGCGAAGGAGTCCGCAAAGGAGTCGGAGCTTTTCAGATACAGACTACGAGTTTGCACAAGCAATCTCTGCCGGAGCAAAATGGTGTCTGAGGTGAAATGAAAGCAGGGATCCATACCCAAAACCTGCACAGTCCTGAGAAATTTCCAGAAGAATTATGGACAGAAGACGACGAGAACAAAAGCATCGGCATTTGATGTTGCTGCTGGTCCAGAGCTTCTAGAATCCGGCAACATGGTTTGCCTGCCTACCATGGACAGCGATCCAGCCTCGGTGAGCTCATCAAGCAATTTGAGCTTTGCAAGTGGACGTTGAAACTGCCCTGTCACCATGAGTGAACCACCAGAATTTGTAAATGATTAACTGCAAAAGAATTAATTGGTCAAAAGTTGCAACTCTCAAAGTTTGTGATTGGTTAGGAATTGAAAAGTTTCACTTGGTTTTATGTTTGGAAAAATTAGATGAATAGTTGAGATGGAATGTTTTTATTTTTTTATTCATGGTATGAATAGTGATGTTTTTTTTTAGAATAGTGTTGTTCTTTAATCCATCTCGAAGAAGGAACTTTTACAAAAATTTGAGAAGTTGCATATGAAATTACTAAAAACATGCATTATATATATATATATATATATATATATATTTCTATTTTTAATTTTTTTGAAGTTAATATATTAGCTCATATATTTTTAAATTACAATAGAAAAATGATTTAATCTATTTTATAAGCTCTTTTTTACTTTATACTACATTTAAAGGGTATTATTAATGCTATTATAATTTTTGCTATTCCCACCACAATCCAATGCCACATACTAGCACAGCTTTGCATTTCATGTAATATCCATCACTATCATAGCCCAACTCAAGGCAATTGTAGAAGATGACAAAACGTTTTTACACAATTGCACAACTTGAAACCAAGTTCTTCTTCTACATGTAGGCTTTCAAAGCATAACAACTTTTAAAGGTGTTGCCAAACTCTATGAGAAAGTTACATCGTGTTAAAAGTTGTGAAGAGAGTTGTGGATGCATTGCATACGAGAGAAGCATTCAAGAAGAGTATTTAAGTGCAGAATACAAAATTGTGAGGTATTGAGCGTTGAAAGGTGGCAGGTTGTAGTCACAATAGTAAAAATTGTGGTAGCACTAGCAATATCATATCCAAAAGCTAGATTTCAGATAGAGAGTTTTTTTTTTACCAAGTTAGGACCTTTATTGGACTTTTTTTATATTGAACATGTGTGTCATTAGATAATATTTTATTGGGCGCTTGTCTTTTAAACAACCAAATAAAATAATTTGTTTATAAGTTTAATTAACTAAACTTTCGTACAATCTTAGAGTTAAAAAAAAAAAAAAGTACCCAGCTAGTACATAGTATTATTAGATGAATAGAAAATCTAAATGGTTCCCTAGATTAAAACATTTTAGACATTCAACCCTTAATCGTGCTTAATTACCCAAAAATTATTTGTAATTTTTTCAAACCATAAACAATTGGTTGCCTTGTTTCCCATCATTGAGCTATGTGGATGAATGACAATAGATGAAGTAAAAAGATCCCAAAGCAAGTTGGGTAACTGTTCTGTTCTGCAAAATGGCACAATCCACCTCTCATAAATAACGATTCACTGCAAGTTGATGCATTCTGCGAGGTAAAATACATCAAAAAACTCAATCCTGATGCAGCAGTGATGTAGAAATTGGGGGAAACTTGTGATAGCTTCGTTGTGTAACAAATTAAGGTTGACAACATACCGAAGTGATATTGAAAATTCTTAGCGTTGATATTGAAAACATTTGTTGATTGAAACATATATAAATGAACAAATAAGATGGATGGTAAATAAACAATAAAGATAAATTAGAAGTCATTGACCTAACACAATTTTCAAATTCTGACACAAGATCAAGACCGTCGCACCATGTTTTCGATCAATAATTTGTGAATGTAAAAAACTATTTGGTTATTAGTGACTCTAAAGTAAATTAATGTCAATACAACACAGCATAGTATTTTCCATGCTTGTGCAAATTTACTCACCCAAAAATTCTCTGTTGTAATTTGCAATGAGCCCGGATAAACAATTGAGCTTGTTCAGGAGAGCTCAGCATTTGCCGAGTTGGAACTGGAAATGCAATGTCATGCAGCAGAAGAGGGATTCTACATCTAAAATATTTTACAGTCATAAAAAGAGATATTCGGAGCACTCTAAATCACTCAAGGATGAGATCTTCCACTAATCCAGCAGCCACGAAGTTAAACGCCAAGTGTACTAGAAGTAAGAGCAGACCACCACTGCATGAGTAACCTTCTAGACAAAAATATACAATGATGTTACAAGCTGTCAAAAGGCGTCAGCTCACAAGCGCCAGTCTTTGCTTTACCGGCCACTTGTCTCTGAACAAAACTCTACAATTAAGTACAGAGGTGCAGATGATAGTTCACCTGAGGATTTGACATTTCTTTGCACCTCTTCACTAATATCTTACTAATCTATTTTCTCAACATCACGTACTTGAGTTTTATCGACGCATAAAGCCGAGACTATACTTCAGCCCTAGCTAGAGGTAGTATATTCTGATGACTATTCATATGGAGCAACCATATTATGAGGCCTGTGGATACTTGCCTGATAGACCTCCAGCCTCGAGAGAGCATCAATCAGAGCGTTTCGCAGTTCAGGGTTTTGAGTAACAACAGTTGATCGAGTCATATTCTCCAGTCTCGTACGCACCATGGCTTGTGCAAGAGCAGCATGGTCGGGGGCGTTCACTGACAAGCAACACAGGAGCATTAAGGCCTTCTTCTGAGTGTTGGGATCTTGATTTGTCAGCCAGGAAACCAACAACTGCGCCCCGTTCAGCTCCAAAATTGTTCTCGAGTGCTCTACGTGGTGGTAATTCTTGGGGTGGACAAATTTGTACAAGGCAAAAGCTGCTTCTGCTGCGACTTTAGGGTCGAGTGTTTTCAAGGCCTTGGTGATAGGACCAATGATCCTCACAATAGGAGCAGAGAAGGTGCGTGCCAAGCATCCAATTGCAACCAAACAAGGCTCCTGCCAAATCAACAAATTGTGCACGTGACCGTATAAAAAATGAGTGGACTTGATTGCCACCGGAGTTCAAAGTATTCCTTTAAAAAGTACTCTTAATATTTCATAGTGCAGGAGAAGTCATTTGATAAGCGTTTCTCAGTAAAAATAAATAAATGAAATTATAGATGTATATGAACGGGCAGTCAATGGGGACCCCACCTGAACCACCGGTTCTCCAGATTCGATGACGCGAATCAGTTGATCGACCACGGCTTTTGCAGCTGGTGCAGTTGTTTTGAAGGCTGCCTTTCGAATCTCTGAACTCTTTTCAGCTGATGAGCAGATTGCCATCACTGCATTTATGGAGTTAACCTGCACTTCACCTTTTCCTGTTTCGATCAGCTTGGCAAAACACAAGAGAGCCCGAGTATCCGTAATTAACTTACTGTTTTTGACGTTGTTCTGCGCCAGCTTCCATATCGCCCGAGCCACTTGTACTTTCAGCCGCAATTTCGTCTCTGGATCCTCGTTGTCCCTACTGCTCTTGCTGGTAGTGCGCAGGGAAGAAGGAAAAGATTCAGTTCTTGCGTTTTCTCCTGGGCTGCTCCATGCCTCGGTACCGTAGTTTCGTGGCTCCACGGAAACAGGTTGCACCTTGGCAGAGCTACGATAAGAAGAATCAACTCTTGGTCTGACTGGTGGCTTGCCAGCTGACCCTTGAGGATGTTCCATGGTGTTCTTTATGACGTTATAAAGCCCAGCTTTGTTAGAGTCATTCTTGTTAGAATCATCGACCTCGTGCGCCAGCAGATATACTAATAAGCGGATCCCACCGGCAGCTGCACATTCATTTTGGGACTCTTCGTCCCGATCACAAAACTCTGAGAGCGCCCATGCCACCATGGCCTGTTAGAATAGCAAGTTCATATGTTAATCTTGATCCTTGTGTGATGATGGAGCTCATGAATCTGTCAGAGATGATAAACACACAAGCTGCTAACTGCAGAACATAGTCAGACAGTAATGAGCAACAAAGCTTGTTAAATTAACACAACTCGCGGGACACCAGTAGACACCAACTACTTCTAGCGAACAAGGAGGAACATGCAGTGAAGGTATGATTCTGTGCTCTAACCTGTACTTTCATGGACGCATGGCCCAGAATTTGGGCAAACACGGATGTTGCACTCTCCATACGCATCTTCTGCACACGCTCGCGATCACTTGCTAAGCAACCCAACGCTCTAGCAGACTCTTCTTGCCCAGCCACAGTTCCCTCTCTGAGCAGACGCAATAATGGTGCAACACCACCTTCTTCCACGATGATCTTGGCACTCCGATCATCTTTAGCAAGGTCAGCAAGGCAAGATGCCCCTTGCGCCCTTTCATCATCATTGCCAACATGCACAATTGAAATATGCTCCCAAACCAAAGCCAGAATAGGGTCAGTTGAAGCTATTGGAGGCATCCCTATGAGTGCTGGGCGGTCCTCTCCGCTTGCAGATACGCTAAGCAGCCATTGCACATCTACAACAGAATTCTCTAAATGCTGGTTTAGCCTCCTAAAATCAGAGGCGTTCGTGATTGTGATGACTCTCCTCAGCATTCCACTCCTCGTACATTTCTTCACAAGGATAGAGGCTTTCTGTAATGTTTTTTCGACATCCACCACAATCCGTCGAGTTGGACTTTCATAGAGACCTACTGAACTCGTGGTTGCAAACCGTGCAGCCTGCCGCAGGAGCCTCCCGAGAGCATCAACTTTCCTACTCACCTCTGCACACTCCTGTTTGAATGACTCGGCTTTCTCAACACTTTTCCTGACCTGATCTGTCAACCCTATTGGCACCTTCAGCATATCCTCAATTTTAGGCTCATTGTGAACTGTTTTGAACTGCATTCTCGGGTCCATTTCTCAGACGTTTCCCCAACCTCTGCACAGGATAATACCAGGAAGATGGTCACGGATATTGTGATGAGACCCTGGTATGAAGGTAAGTATATCGTTCAAATGGGACTAACTACTTATTGGATTCATCCCTTTCTTTAACTCCCTTTCCATGCAACAGAGCCTTGATGCAACGTTGTAAATAGCACATATAGAAGAAAAAAAGTAGTAGAAGCTAAGTACGATACGTGTTTATCTACTAAGACGAGTAGCAGAATTTTAAAAAGTGCAAAGAGACACAACAGGTCCCAACCAAAGAAATGTAATGAATTCCTCCCCCTGGTAAGTGATACAAAACAGCTTCGCTAGTGTGTAGGATATCAAAAATTATATAGATCCTTCATTTGTCGGGAAAATAAACAAACAAACAAATCAAAACACAGAATAAACAAATTTCTGACAGAAGCGGTGCCCCAATTACGCTGGGAGATCCACTTAACAAGATCATAAAACGCCATTCCAAGCGTCTCTAAAATTGCGGCCAGGCACACTGCAAGACAACTACAAAGAGAAAATAAATAAAAAATAAAAAAATAAAAAAAGAGCACCAGATAGTTGGAAAGGAAAACAGGAAACACGAAATACAATCAAGGTACATACCAGATAAAGAACTGATCAACCTCAATCTGTAAACCCGCAAACTAATCACATCCTCTTTTCGCGCATTCATTCCCTGTCACATACGCATCGTCCGCCATGGTTCTGACAAAATTCCCACCACCGCCAACACGGTACAGGTGCTCTCAACACTCGCACACAAACTCCAACCCAATCTGTCTATCTACCCTCCAACTCACCGTCACTCCAGAGCTGTCGATATTACAACACGAGAAAACAACAAAGGTCATTTCTTAAGTCGTTCACAACGCAACTATCACCAGATTACTGCGACTCCCCACCCTCACGAAATTCATCGCCGAGGCCCTAAACAAGCCCCCAGACCATGTACAGACACACCTCAGTGCATCCCCACAATCTCTTAACCTAACAGGCGCTTCTTCTTTGATCAGCGAGCTTGAGAATTGGGCTTGGATTTCAATCCAAGACCAGACCTTTCACACAACCCAGAGTTCAGAGACGAAGAAGAAGTGGGTGAGGAAGCTGCTGCGACAGTGGTCAAGAGGGAAGAATGCCAGGAAAGTAAGCGAAGGAGACAGACAGAGACTGAGGTGACAGACACTCTAAAGCTGGTACAGCAGGGCACAGAAGCCCATGACAACGATCAGGGCATGCTCCTCGTCCACCACTACCGCCGCCGATGACGATACCCTCCCTGGTTCATACCCTCAGGTCATCGGTCAGATATGATTACAGTTATCAATCTATAATCATAGGTGGGTATAAGCCACACATAGATAGCAATCTCTAAAGGGGTCTTTCTGGATGGTTCCATTATTTGGCTCCTTGCTCGATTGTCGTGGAGGGTAGTTTTCACACAGGCAGTCTGGAGGGAGGAAGATATTTCGTCGTTGTTGTTGTTGCCAACTTGCACGTTTTTGTCTGTAGCTTTTGGTATTTTATTGTGCTACAAATTTCTTTCTTTATTCATTTTAATCTTTGATTCTTTTGGAGAAATAGAATTAATTTTTAATTTTTATTAGAACGTTTAACATTTCATGTGCAATATATATATATATATATATATATATTAAATATGTTTTATATATTTTTATTATACATATATATATATATATATATATATATGCATGTCAAATAATACTTATGAAGAATGGTCAAGGTATACCAGTTTAGGTTACAGGCTTGTCATATTTATTTTCAGTCAAGCTTAAAACTTCAAGCATTCTTGAAGTAACAAGGTTGGACTTAATGCTTCATACTCACATAAATAATTTCTACAGCATTTTATATCATCTGCGCTAAACATTGGAATTGCAAATACAAATCTTTTTAATATTTTAATTTCAAAATGTTAAATAAAAGAAAAAAAAACACATTGATATTATTTTATAAATCAAATGAGTTCTGATTTAATTTCAAGTTTACGTCTTTTTCAAAAGATATATATATATATATATATATATATATCTGTATGTATTAATCATTTAAACCAGTATTTCATGTGATTAAAAGCACCATTTTCATGTCAAAAAGACTTAATAATTATTGTAGTATTTCTTCAATTTATATTTGGTGTTTACATTTTGATATACAGTTTGTGGATTTGCAAATTCAAGATTTATTTTCAAAGAATTTTGGTAGTCATTATTCATAACATATTATGTAATGGCTACCATGAAACACACTATTTAAAAGGTAAATGCACACAATGTCACTAATTAATATACAGAGTAATATGAGTAATAATGAATATGAGAATTGTATCATTTGCACCAATCAAATTAAATTTACAAAACAAGATGTGAAAATCCAAAACCTTATTTCAACTTTTTTTAAACCTGTATATTTTGATTTTTTTTTTTTTTTTTTTGGGAAAGGTTCAGATCAACTCATACAACTCAAACAAGCAAATGCCTGTCAGTTTTACATGTAATGATCTTACAATTAAATCTACATCATTCCCTTTTATTCAAAACATAATAGAGTATTTGCTCAGCAGTTGCTTCGTTTAATTTACCGCAGGTATCAGTTCAATATCTAAGAAGAGAAAGACAAAAGAAGAAATGAAAACATGTACAAGTTCTAGAATCAAAACTCACAACTTTCGGTGTGTTTTAGAATCCTGATTATTTCATGAAACTCTGGCCGCTGAGACTGGTCTTGGTGCCAACAACTTGTGATCAGCTTCTTCATCCACAGCTCCACATCATCAGGTAATGTGGGTCTAAGCCCACGTATGACAAGATCATAGCCCTCTTGTGTCGGTAGCAATCCTTCACTCTCGAATGGAAGCAACCCTGTCAAAACCTCATAACACACCATGCCAAAACTGTAAACATCTGCAGCCTTTGCGAACGAAATTGCTGGCATGCTGCTATTGCCGTTTTTGGCTGCCAACATCCGATCCTTGGTGGCCAACAGTATCTCAGGTGCTCTCCAAAACGTTGTTCTTAAAACACCCACTGAACATTCATAATCGGCTACCCTGCAAACGTACTCGGTTTCTTCTCTGTCAGTTCTCAATATGAGGATATTCGCAGCCTTCAGGCCTCTGTGCAGAATGTCGTCTTTGTGCAGATTGGCCATGTTTTTAGAAAAGGTGAGCATGATCTTCAAAGGGTGTTGAAATGGTGGTTCCTGATTCTGCTTCTCCTGGTTTTCTAGGTCAATGAGCTGCCGCAAATCGCCCCAGTACTTCCACATCACAAATCCAAACCTTCCATCGTCAAAGAGTATTATGTCTGTTATGGGTCCACAAATGGTACCGACCACCGGCCGCTTGAACATAGCCAAGGGCCATTGCTTCTGCAGGTCCTGCACCAGAAATCCTCGCTTGAACACTTTGAACGCCATCTCATTGCAGTCCCCGTTCGAATACATGATACTGCCTTCGAAAATCTCGGCCTGCCCTCCCTCAGCAATTTTTTTACCGACCTCGTATTTCCCACCCCAGTCATCCTTCTCCAGAAACCAACCCCACAGTGGATGCCGCTTCAAATGCTCCATGGCTTCACTGTTGCCTCACAAAACGCCCTCCGCTTTCTCCTCATCTGTTATGGGACCTGCAGGACCCTCATCCAGTTGGCTGCCTTCTTCCTTCTCGATTTCTCTTGCACCTCTAGATTCCACAGAGCACCAATGCACCTTGGAGCATTCGATGTGATACTCAAAAAGGTCAGAATACTTTTCCCGACTTTGCATCATCTCCCTGATGCGTTCTGAATGGTACTGTAATACAGCACGCTGGAGATTCTCCTCCGCTGGAAGCAACACTTCGACTGGAGTGCAGTGAGGATTGGGGTCCACACATGTCACCATCTTTTTAACTAGGTTTCTCATGGCGGTCCACGTGCTCTTCGTAGTTCAATTCACCAATGTGTGCTTAAACAACCCTTGCTACACACCCGAAAACGTGTCTAGTTTGACTTGAACCTTCTCATTATGCAACAGGGAGTTTGTCCCGATCAAGCTGATCATCTTTACATTTTACGTATGCAAGATACAACACTCCAACGAAGGAGCGTCTTTCCGACAAGTGCAACGAAATGGACTATCAGGAGTGAGCACTGTACACCCGCTTCGCAGTGTAGAAGAAACAAAAAACAAAAAACAAAAAGGAGAGTTTAATCCAACAATTATGATCTCCTCTCAAGCGAGAAACGGAGATCCATCTCAGGACGTTACTCGCGTCCACATTAACTCAATTTCAAGCACTAGGAAACAAAATATACAAAACTGCCAGGGATTTTGATCATCGCTCATCCAAAACGAAGACCTGCGATTTTGGTTAGAAACTCTGGACATCAGAGATTACTGAGCTCCTCGTGGACGCTGCATCAAGCGACCGAACAGCTCCAACAGGATCATTACCAGAGGCTGATTGCAGGTGCCTGTTAATCATCTGAATCGGGGTCCATGAAGCGGGTCATTGAAACCCTGGCAAGAAACGTTTCACAAGGGTGTCAAGAAGAATTCGAAACCTTGGGTGGGGAAGGTGAAGAATTCAAGAGGTTTTCGCAGGCGATGCTAAAATGCTTGCGTCGCGAGGTCATTGACACCCACAAACGGTGTCCGGAAATGCGAGGAGGGGGGAGAGGAGGAGGAGGAGTAAAAGGAGAGCGAGAGCGACATGGTGAAACTCCCCCCTCCCGTTATTTTTGTTGCGATGCGAGAGAGTTGGCAGCGTCAAACAACTCCGTGGAATAGCCCACGACGTTGGAAGAGTCAATCAGTGTGGGGTGTGGGGGAGGAGCGCAAACTGCTTTCTTGCTGCAACAGTAGTGCTGCGAGTCGTGCAGACATGCGGTAACGCGATGGACTAATTGAGCTCGCGTCGCACTCCATTCCATAAAAGCGGATCACGAGGAGAAAGTCTGGAGGGATTGGTATTGGTATTGCGTGCACACAGTTCAGCAGCATCAGTATTGGTAACTTCGGCGACGCTCCGCAAGTTGCGCCGCAGGGATGGATTGGTGAAGGAAACGGCGATGATGGGTGGGAGACCGGTTTGAGCAATCTACACGGATATCCGTAGTTAGAGTTTATCACACTATTATCAAAGTGTAGAAACAAAACAATCACTGAGTTGAGTCACTCCCTCGGATCTTTTGTTTTGTTGAAACCCAATTGTTGAATCCTTTGTTCTGTCCAATTGTTGGATCTTTATGTAGTTGTGTTTTGCATATCAATATCTACACCAATTACACACTAATTACAGATATTGGTGTAGACCTAGATTTACAAATGAACATCTAATGTGGGTAGCTCCTTTGAGCTGGCCCTTTTACATTATACTTCCAAGTAGGACCTTGGGTTGAATCTCCAAATGAATATGTAAGCTTTATTGCATCTTTACAACATTAATAACTTCTATGTAATATGATCATTTTTATCACTTTATTTGTTCTACACATAAAAAACTAAATTGAATCCAATTTATAGTGATTTTTGAAACTAGTTATTAGTGCTTTTTGTAGATACAATTCAAACATCATATTCCACTTGCAAGATAGATTGCTAGAAGATTTACTAAAAGCCTTGCTTAGTTCTTGCTATATCTTATTAAGAGAATTTTTAAATTCAAGGGACAAGGTTGCAATTCTAGAATCCATTAATTGGCTAAAAAAAAGAAGCATTTATATTTTAGTCAATAAAAAGATTTAGAAGTTTTTGTTTTGTTTTTGTTTTGTTTTTGTTTTGTTTTGTTTTTTTGTTTTTTGTTTTATTTTATTTCTTAAGGATTAAGACCCTTTAAATATTTATTTCTTAAATCATAACATATTAAACAAATAGTTTATTCAAAAAGACTACAAATAATTTATAAGAAAGTAATATTTATTCTAATTAGAAAAAAAACTAAAAGATAAGTTTATCAAGACAAATTTAAGAAATATTAAGATAAATTAAAGTGTATAAAAATTTATCTTTAAGGTTTAAGTAAGGATGGAAATTATTTTTAGTTTATAAAATTTCATATGTATTTAAAATAATTATTTTAGAAATATATCAAAATGACATATACTATCAAATAAATTAATAAAAACTGAATTAAATTCCTCACAAAAAAATTAAGTAAGTAGAATATAGTATATTATTATTATATACAAATATTTTTTTCTTTATATTATTTTAAACATATATTTTTAACTATATTTTAAAGAAAACTTTGAACAAATATTTATTGAGTAAATTTTGAAATAGATGTCTATACTATTCAATTGTAAATAAATATATTATATCTATCTCTTTTTTACTTATTTACTCTCTTTAAAGTAACACACGGATATATTGTCTTTTTAAACTTATATCTAAATTTAAATTCTTGATAGTTTGGCTAAATAATTATTTTTGTTATAGATTTTTTGTTTTATTAAAATATATATATATATATATATATATATATATATATATATAATTGCATTTCTTAGAAGATTATTTTGTGTAATAAAGATTAACTTATTACCTAATTTTAAACTACTTTTTTAACATAAAATATATTTTCAACCAAATTGAACTTTTTTTTTTTTTTTTTTTTTTTTTTTTTTGCAGAAAACATGATTTATTTATTGAGTTTGTGAATTACCCCTTTCTATTTTAACTTGTATGTTTTTAGATTTAATCCTTCGTTTTAACTTTATGTAAATATTTTTAATTCAAGTTTTGATGTTTCAATTCAAGTTTTTTTTATTAAAAATGGAGCTTTTATATATTGTATAGATAACTACTTTTTACTGTAATATAAATTAATGTTTTTAAAGAAGATTTGACAAGTTCTAATGGATATTATTGATGGACTACTACTTGCATTTGGAGATATTATTGAAGAGACCAAATTTTTCTAAATACCATTAAAAACTTAAGTATCACATAATATTTTCAGTATTATTCAATGTCATTTACACTCAATGGTACTCAGCCTTTTTTAGTTTGAATTACATTATGTTATAATTGATTAAAAATTACAAAATTTCTCTTCAAGATTAATTCAAAAGTTAGCAAATCATCTTCATCCTTATTTATTAGAGCTAGGATATGTATGCAAGCTGTAAAAGAAAGATGTGTAAAAGAAAGATGTGCTTTTGTCATTAGTATTATATCAATTCTTCATTTAGAAGGAGGTTGTAGTAGAATTTTAAATCAAAAAGAAAAATATGAAGATATATTTGATAGTAAATATGTTTGCATATTGTGAAAAAATTATTCCTAATATTCCACAATTAATCTTTAAGAATAAATTTATTTTTAACTTTAGAACTAGCTTGATTGTTAACATAGTCATTAATTAATCAAAGTTAATCATAAATTATACAAACCATATTTTTAAAAACCATTTGGACAATTTTGAACTTTTTCCAAAAGAAGCTTAATACTTAAAAAAACCTTCATTGATAAGAACCTTACAAATTGATTTTTCTAAAATTTGAAATTAACTACAAATATACCAATCTTTTTTGAGAAATTAAAAGATGAATCTTTAAAAATATATGTAGATTATTGTGTATTCAATAGATTCACCATTAAAAATTATCATTGATTACTTTTAATATATGAGCTTTTTGACCAAGTGAGTGAGACTAAGATCTATACAAAAATAGATCTATGAAGAATTGACAATAGTATATATTTTTGTAATGGAATAATGAAAGCCTACACCCCAGCTTTGATTAATTAATGACTCTAATATTTTCCAAAAGATAAAATCATAAAAGCTATCACTAATTCTGTGAACTGCGCAGCCTTTCTTGGCTCAAAAGGTAACTCATGCCACTCTCTAATCCATACAAGATTTTCTTAATACTGTTGCACGAAGTTTGCTTGGTAGATTTGGCAGCCTGATCCACTGATTCCAGGAGCCTCACCTCTGCCCAGAGTCCAGGCCCCAACTTTTGAAAGCCCAGGTGACATGATGCAAGATGCTTTTGTTTGGGGTGGTCTTTCAGAACACATGGTTCGCTGGCAGCTGCCTCCTTTTTCGAAGGCCTGCAAGATAGTTGACAAAAATGTAATCGTTTGGTGGCACACAAGCACTCAGAGAAAGACTAATCTATCCTGCATAAATTGTGAGGATGCAGTCTTGGATGGTTGATGCCGATCTTGAAGTGACATTACCGAACTTGGGAGCCCTACACGCAATTTGTGCATTTAAAAAGCGATGCACACGGGAAAATATATTACATATTCAATTCTTACTTTAGTTTGCATAAATTTCAGATGAGCTGCTGCATCTATCTCATAGATATTACATTCGAGGAGGAATACCATATCTTTCTTAAAGTGCATTACATACCGTCCATCTACATATGAAATTAGTGCCACACTTACACTTGTAAAGGTACAGAGACACTCCTTTTTGGAGCCTCGGCCTGTTCTCGATGATATTTAGCTTCATGCTCCCAGAAACATTTGTTAAGCCTAAGCTTCTTCCGTTGATCATCTGGAAGCTCGCCTGTAAACTCTTTGGGTTTAGTGGCCCTCAAAATGAAAGGACTTATACGTACCTTAACCATATCTGGTTGTATAATGAAGTTGGTAGCATTGATTTAGCTCTGAATATCTGTTTGAATCAACTCGTATTCCAGCTTTGGTGGCATCATACCTCCAGTCCTGAAGACACAATTCCCAGACTCCAATTCTCGCTTGACTTTGCGTACTAGCTTCATGATTCCGACAGTTCCAACATCAGGATCCAACCGCATATAGAGCTCTGTCGTAGCACAAGCCCATGTACCTTGTTAGTCGGCGAGACCCGATGCACAGCTTCTTGCAGCTTTCAAATGTTGACGCATTTGGAACTTCTTTTGAATTGCGGGATGAAGCATACCTGATAAGCAACCAAGCAACCAACCGAGGGAAGCTTTCCGCCGGAGTTCATCATTCTCTTCCTCGATGTGCCTTCGGGCTATCTCCTCACGGCCCTTAAAAATTTTATGCTCCTCTTCCTTCTTCTCGAGCGTCAGAAGGAGGTCTTCTACCTCACCCCGCAGTTCCTGTTACATTCAAAACCAAGATTGTGTTGAAGTGGTTTCTACACCACAACATGCATGAAAAAGCGTAGTACATGTTCACAACAGATCGCATTACCGGTTACTAGGACCAAATTGTCTGGTCTATTTTGCTGGTCACGTTAAAAACGATTTAATTCCTTTCACTCTAGATCTTGACTAAAAGGGGCCATTGCCATAGCATATTATGCTTCGCAACCTGGGGACAAATTTAATTCAGAACTCTGGTAAGCGTTCAAACACTCCCGATCAAACAGTAAGCAATATATTGTCATGTAACCCTCGTTTTCATAGAACATAGCTAAACTTCAATCTTCTTCACTTAGGTATATAATCACGGAGATAACTCTGAAAAGTTACGCATACGAAAGAAACGGTTTTCTGATCTTGACCTTCATGTATTCCTTTTGAGCAATCCTCTCCTTCATACTGCTTTTCAAGACTTGCACCGCTTGAACGACATGTTGAGCTCTCTCCAGCTCCCGCCCTTGCTTCTTTTCCAGGAGCTCAGCGACATATGCCCTGCATGGAGCAATAAGAAACCCGTTCTAGCATGAGCATGCTCGCTGATGACTAAACCTGACATGGCCTGCAAATCCTGTGAGAAGTACCTGGGATGGCAATCTCATAAGGTGCCTGCAAATAGTGAAGAAATTAAGTTATACTGCTGACCAGTGTGTAATCCAAGTAACTTACAAATACCCTGCAATGTTTAGCACATTTCGTTACCCTCTGCAAATATAAGAATCTTCAAAGATAAATTCTGACACTCATGAGATTCTGCGTTATCTGCCGTGTTTTTCTAGCATGTTCTAGCCACAATACCTGCAGCCATGTGCCAACTCATGCCGAAGCTCTTCATTTTCCCTTTTCAGTTTTGTTTCTCGCTTCTCATTCTCCGACCTTTGGTGGTCAAACACAGATTCCATGGAGTCTAGATGCTTTAGAAGCTCCGCGCTTTTCTTTACGTACTCGTCAATGATATCTTGGCGCAACCATGCAACTTCCAATCGTTCCCGGTCCAATGCGGCTGATTTATCAGAGAGATCATCCTGCAGCCCAAACTGGCCATCACTCAAACATCATCGGTTGGTGTTCGTGAATGAAGTGTCTTCTATAAAAGTAACAATACAAGGTTCCCCCTCCTGGGAAATAAGTTGGAACGCGTTATGCTATTGTCTAAGTTTGTCTGAAATTTTACCACTGCAATCACCTGCATTGTCATTTCTCCTAAGATGTTCTCAACAGGGACACTATCATTGCGCTGAGGCTTGTCCATTTGTCACAATTAGCATGAGGGGAGTTGGACTGAAAGGTCATGCTGGTGTAGTCCTTGTTTGGCTCTCGTATGCCTGCCAGTTATCAGTCAAATGTATCACTTTCGCTTCTTTCTGACTTCATCACCCTGTGGAGCCCTAATTTGAACGCATTCAGATTCAATCAACTAAGCAAATAACGACTTTCCACGCCACATTATAGTCTCTTGCTCACAATCAAAATCATGTATCCAAGCAAGAGAGCTAGGGCAAGATTAGTGAAGACTAATTAATATATACTCCCTGCCCGAAAATGTTATTTTCAATTAAGCATGAAGTTCTACTTTAGAAAGTGTAAAATACACGCTAAACATTACGAGAAGTCTATCCCTAGTCATTAAAGAAAAAGAAAAATATACACACAATGTCTAATTATCTCTCTGCGATGTATCTCAAAAAACATTCAATTGAATGCGGAGGCGATTATGAAAATATTTGCAAACCGTCATCACCAACAGAAAATACATAATTTAACCTCAGGGCTGCTCGCTCAAAAGATCAGCACCAAATGTACCGATTCCGTGAATCCACCTTCGCTCCTGTAACACATATGCATACATACGCGTCCTCTACCTGCCCCTGCTGCCTAGCAATTCGGCCACAGGGCAGACGCGTAAACTCAGGTGCGACTTGCTTCGCACAAAATCGAGGACTAAATAATTTTGTTATGTTAAATTACATTTTCTCCTGTTCTGTGCAGTCCAAAATTGATAGAAATGAGGAAGAAAGCACGTCCTCGAGATGGACTAATGCATAAAAACCTTGGAATAATTCAGAAAGCAGAGTAAAGCATTCTGCGACCATCTGACCAACCCTCGTGTCATCTACTACATTCTCGAAGGATTAGTGACCACAACCTTACTACACACACTGGCTCTAATTGAAAAAATAATAAAATAATAATAAAATGATAAAATCAATCAATCACTAACAGGTTGAGAATCGCTTCAAAACCCTGCAAGTTGGAAAACTGTGGATCGTCTTACCAAATTCGACTACGTCAATCAAACGGGAAGATATAAGATAAGTCTGCGATAAAGTTTTGTTTCTTTTCAGAGCCCGATTCAAAATCTATCCAACTCAACTTCACCAGATCTGCCGTTTCGGATCATGAGACATCACAGGATGAACGAACCCTCCAAATGACATGCGTGAAATCTGTCTTCAGCGTCACGCTCACTCCCACGACGAACACGCACTCCCCGTCTCTCTCTCACCATTACATTACAGAATTATGCGATCCGCTGTAGTTGTGCATTGCAGAACCAGGAAACGAAACCACGACATCCTCCGAACACAAATGAAATTAATTTCTCACACAGGATTAGTAATTTTGTGATCGAGAGAGTGAGAGAGACGATGATTTCAATGATTGAATGATACAATCATTGAATAGGGGCTAATATTCTATCTTAGGACCTAATATTTTTGATTTGAAAAATAGATTAAATTGTTACATTTTATCTATTTATCTAATTTGAATATACTAATTGACATATTAAATCAAAATATGTTGGTATACATTGCCAATAAATTATATATAAACATATTGTCTCTTACTTAGAATATCATTTACCATCCATATCCTATTCTATCTTTAAAAGCACAAGGTTACTTGTTTATGTTTTCTTTTTTCTTTTTTCTTTTTTCCTATTTTAATTTGATATAGTCTATTGGATCAATCCACATAAGTTGCTGTAAATTTTTATTGGTCCAAATTTCTCCTTAAGATACTAGTGCATTTCTTAAGAATCAAATTGTCTATTTGCAAATGTCATGGAATAAAGTCTATATGGTTTTGAGCCTTTTAAATCTAAGTAAGTGATGTATAGCAAAAATACTTGCTTCCATCAAAATATTGATCATAGTCTTTATCTTCTTGGATTACTAACCATCTTATAAAATGTAATAAAAACTTAATACTAATTTATTTGGGCTTATAGAGAATCCCAAAACTTATACCTGATTAAATTTATATATTGTTGAAATTAAAGAGATATTTGTTTTTGAAAGACTAGAATTAGTTTTGCCTCTCCATTCATTTATTACAACAACTTTGTGCTATATATGTCATTTAAATAATTTTTCTTTAGAAACTTTAACTTAAGTAAATAAAATAATTTTTTTATTAAATTAAAAAAAATTAATAATCTTTTTTATTTGAACATAGCTAAATTCCAAAGATGTAGAATTGATTTAAGAAGCTCCTGTTTTAATTTAGCAATATGGATTATCAATTCTTTATTACATTTTGAGCACTTATTAAAAAGTTCAAAATATAACTTGGCTACTAGACCATAGAAAAACTTTATTTGCAAAGAGATTCTTTTATTAATCTTGACTACATTAATCACTATAATATTTTAGCTACTTTTTTAAAAATAGTTAATTTCTTAAAAAAATAGAAAATAAATTTAAAAAAAAACTAAAACTATAATAAAATTTTAATATATATATATATATATATATTTGTTTATTAAGACCTTATAATTAATTGCACATGATTTTTAATGAAAATATCAAGAAATCCTAAATAATTACTATTTAATTATACTTTAAATTTAATAATATAGTAATTCTATTATTAACATATGATATGTATTATTATAATTAAAAATTCAGATTAGATTTTTTAACTTAACAATATTATCCAAGTAGATAAAAAGATATTTAGGATAAATAATTAGATAAAATTATATTTTAATATATGTTTAAATATATAAGTTATTAATATGTCATTATATATATATATATATATATATATATATATATATATATATATATATAATTACTATTTAATATTTTTTGAAGCTAAAAACCTTTTCAAGAATAAATATGTATAGTTATGTAATATTTTTATATTTATTTTATTGATCAAATTTAATAAGTACAAAAATAAGCTTCTTTTTTTTTTTTTTTTTTAAAAAAAAAATCTTAATGTCAATTTTTTGAACACCATTTTTAAATATTTTGTAATAAAGATAAATTCTAAGGAAGTGAGATTAAAATCAAAATTCGACTCTAGAAAAAATAATGTTTTTGAAATTATATGAAAAAATAATATTATTGCACTTATATATATATATATATATATATATATATATATATATATATATATATATATATATATATATATATATATATATATATATATATTTACATACACACATTTTGAAAAAATAAAATAGTGATTTAAAGAATTTAACTTAAATATTTAACCAAACCATTCTATTATTTTCATTTTAACCTATCTATCTTACAATAAGTTTATATTTTATGTTTAAGATATGTATTTTAATTCTAAAAATTATGTATGTAATGAGCTTATTTAAAAAGTTGTATTATATTATAAAGGTTTAAATATTTTGTGCATGTTATGAGAAATATAGAATTTATTTTATATGTAAAACATTATTATTTTTGTTATAATTCTAATTTCAATTAATTTTGTTTTGTTCAACCATGCTAAGATTTATTATAAGAAACTAGTATCATGGTTCTCTTTTTATAAATTTAGTTTTTTCAAAATTAATTTGTATATTTGAATATTATACAATTAGTTGAAAAACCAGTTGAATTATAGACACTAGTTTTTATGTATTACTGAATATATATATATATATATATATAGTTACATGATAGAAGTAAATAAAAATGATTGTTGCCAAAGAAAGAGATTAAAGAGTCTTAAACCAATGTTCATATATAAGAAAATTGTTGAAAAGTTTAAAGATGATATCAATCTTACTTCTATGTATATTATTAAGAGTGTCATGTAATTTTTTTGTGAGAACCACAAGGCTTCTTGACCAAGCATCCAAATTGTAAATTGATTCTATGGCAATTTTTTATAAGTAATTTCTAAAAGAAATTTTCATAATTATGTGGCATATTTAGAAGGATATATAGATCTAATCTATAATTTAAGACTTATTCTGTTATTTTTTGAGAAATCTATTTTCTACCTACTTTTACTCATTCCTAAATAATTTCTATTCTTTTCATAATTAGTTGAGGTATTTGTACACAAGTTTAATTCAGCTTACATATCAATTATTATAATTGAACAATATGAAAGTATTTATGAAATAGTTTCCCATTTGACATTTAACTATATTCATATGTGAACTTTACATGAATTTTATCTATTTATTTATTTATTTATTTTTTACTATTATGGTAAAATATAAATCTGTAACTACACAATTGTATTTGTTGTCATTCTCATTTATCCACAATTATATACAGTAACTTAAAATTTATTTTGGTCTAACCTACAACTTTTTGAATAAGCGTTTACACAAACAAAACAAATCTTGTCATGCATCTATGCTCAGGCACCACTTATTAAGTTAAGCTTTCATTTACCAATACTCCCAAAAAAATAAAAATAAAGTTCAGAGCACCACCGCAACAATGAAGGAAACAATACTGGACAACTAAAACTATTGAAGGATGGCTTCTCCTTTGCAGAATTTGCGAACATAGTTGTAGAAACAAGCACTAAGGAGTGGAAGTATCTGAGAATTCTGTACATTCATTCGTCTGTGCCATTGATAGTTCACATACACCACATATTTATGTAGGGACTTCTGTTCTTAAAAGGCTCATACTCTATTGTCCAACTTATGACAGTGGGTTACTATTAGTATGGAGATGTGATGGCTGATGAGTGTTCGGGTGTTACAAAACAAAGGAATTTCTCGTTTAGGAAACTTAGACAAATGCAGAGACCTTCACTTGCAGCAAACAGAGCATTGTAACAACCATGTGTGGCAATATCAATATTTCAAATGTTGTAGATACACTTTCCTGAGCTTAGGAAGTGGACCGGTAAATATGTGCAACAATGCTCACCAGGAAACCGGCAGGTTAACTTTCACGATACACACACAAATTCAGCTGCCCCTTGTGAATTATTCGAGCCTCATTACTATTATACAACCATAGATTACTTCGACAATTTCATCCTTGCTTCCGGATATTGTTGGAGAGGAATCTGACATGAGGGTGGGGGGACATTCGCAGTTTCACAGATTAATGCTGAGCTACGACTCATAGTGCAGCGCCAATAATATCTCCTATCACAAATCCCCCGACAAGGCCTCCCACACCACCTAGAAGAGCGAGTAGAATGTTATCTCTGGTTTCTTGCTGCCGTCGAATTTGTACGGGGACGTACTTATTACGTGCTTGTGCACATGGATGAGGGTCCACGTTGCCATTATTGGAGAATAAAGGAGATGAAGGGAGCGGCGGAGGAGGTCTTGCAGGAGGTGGTGGTCTAGTTGGTTGGGTTGTTACACTGTTTTCTACGCTGATATTAGTAGTTGGGCCATCCTCTGTATTTGTATTCGAAGTCAAGGATGATTCAAAAGAAGTAGCCAGATAAATGGGAGGAGCGGATGGCAAAAACGCCGCGTTGTCATCATCACAATCAGTACACGGGGGATAACCATATGATTGAACTGCTGGGTATCCCATGACTGCAACTTCATCAGGAACGCTAGAGGAGGTAGTTGGCATTTCAATTGCCCAACCATCGTCACCATTGTCTGTAACAGCAGAACAGTGTTATCAGTATCCACTACCCCAGACTAACTAACAAAAGCATATGCCCAACACGACATATAAGACAAGAGTTTCATTCTTAGCAGAAATGGGGTATTTGAGCCAAATGCCACTACGGAGGGAGAAAGTGGTAATCCACTTACGTGAAGGAATTAAGATCTATGCAAAACAGATGGTGATTATTCCTCAAATCTGTAAGAAAGTCATAATTCTTTAAGTGTCAGGAATTGAGAAGTAGAAATAGCCGTACCCAGGGCGTACATAATCTGCTGAATGGTAGCTCCAGTCAGATTGACAGAGATCTTGATGCTCCCTTGAGTTCGGCCAGAGCGTCTATGGAGTGGCAGTGTGACAATGTCACCTTCGTCTGAGTTGGTTTTTGAAGCCTTCATTCGTGCAATATCTGCCAACGCCAGGTAAGATGTTCCAACTACGCTCGGACTCACGGTTCCGGTGCTATACACCTGCAATCCACAGACGTAAATCTCTTATGTCATTCCTCATATCAATTGATATTGACCTTCTTTACGAAATTGACGCTTGAACTAGTTATCCTTTAGAAGGAAGAGAATAATCTCATGAATAAGCCCTTGTTAACTTCAAGATTCACAATCTCACAATCCATAGAGAGCACAGCAAGCAGTGTGTAACAGTAAAGAGGGCAACAATGTCTCTAAGTAATTCCTGTTTACAATACAATCAGTAATGGTATTCCTAAATTACTTAAGTTTCCGTATCAAGTTATGAAAATACAATCTTCAACAAAAAAGATGATAGAAGTCACAGCACTAAAGCGAGGGTATGCAATACTCAGGATGACTCAAGCTGTCGTAGTCTCGATTAGAAAAGATCTCTCATGAAGTTAATAAGATTATAAAGAATTCGCTCACACGCTTTTCAGGGTTCCTGATATCACAGAGTCCATGGACGTGATAAGTTTCTGTCATCTTCATCCCTATCAGACTCTCAGACAGGTGTATGCACATTTATATTGAATGAAGTACACAAAATTCAGATCAAGCTCAGAGTAATTCCTCAAAAAGGCCAATACATTAAACTTATACTTTAATCTCAATCTCTTCAAACACAGAGCTTGGCATATTTACATCAAAACAGAATGACCAGGGAACTGACCTGCACAGTGAGCGAAGAATGAGGATTGAGAAGCATGTCATCAGACACTGGGAGAAACAGGCAGTCATTCCACACAGCATTCTTTCCAGTCTTGTGTCGCACACTTGTGCTTCTTTTTAAGGCTGACTCTATCCATGCCATAACGTATACACTCATTTTTCCGAGCACGTTAACGTTCTTGAGATCCTCTGCCGCCAGGATGACCACCTCTAACATCGGCCCTGGCCTCTGTCTTCCTCCCATCGACTCCGTGTCTGACTCAGAGACTGGTCCACCCATTGCTTCCTCGATGAGTTTCAAAAGTGCTCGGACCTTATGATTTGCCTTGAGTGGACTTCAAGCACCAATTGCTTCTTGATTGTCGCATAACACTGTTTCTAAGTAGAAGGAAGCAGAACTTGTGAAGGAATTTGGACAGGTTGCTATGACTCTCCCAACCGCAGACAATGCTCCTCCTACTCATTTTTATCCTGCACAATGCTGCTGAATTTAATGCCCGAACCACACACATTGGAGAGGACTCTGAATTTTGGCTTCTAATTTACTCTAATCGCTGGAAGTCACCAATTAGGGCTTCGAATTTTACACACGTGCAACAGTTATGTACAAGCCTGTCCCTTCTATTCACCATATAACTAGAGGTAGGGGTTTTGGGAGATTTATAGAGGACATTAGCTATGATAACAACAGTGTCTTAACTGAAGACGCAAAAAAGTCATGCACAAGCCTCAGGTTGTAGCGAGCTTTATGTCAAAATACTGTCATGCCTTCGTGAAACCCGCGAGAAACAGAGATAGTACTGCACAAATATAGAAAGGGTTGCGAGGAAATTATAAGCGTCTGAACAAACTAACAATGCTAATGCGAGAAAGATTACCAAGATGAACCCACAAGGCAACAAGAAGCGGGAAAAGGGTCCTCATCGCTGGCTGTGCAGGGAGGAAAAGAAATGTGGTACAGCGAAACTGTGACCTAATCCAACTGAATTAGGACTAAACAGCCACCACCATCGCTGACCAGCTCAATGCTACCACACTCTTGCAGAAAGAAAAGCCCCACCTATATACATATGCTTACACAATTCCTGTGAGTGATAAGTTCACTGCGAACAATGGTTAAGATCATCCGCGACCGATCAACATTCCTCCTCCACGCCAAACAGAGCATATCAGCAACAATCGCACAACGGTCTAGAGAAGACTCGCCAACTAATTGCAATGCAGACACCAGACAAAGTGGTAATGTCAATCATCGAGACTCTACCTGGCCTAGGATTTTTTCCCTGCGATCTTTAACATTTCTCCGTCGGGACGATGCCGCTACGAAATCTTCCACACAGCCCTCGAGCTCTTCCTTAAAAACTTCAGAGAAACTCCCGACTCCCACATTACGGATCCAGCAGGAACACTTCGTAATACCCAGTCTGTCTTCTTAGATGTAGACTACCTACTAGACCTCAGAACAATCACCGATGACAACGCGGTATCGACCATTCTGATTGCGACTTCAATTGCAATGAGCGCCAGTAGGATTGAAGAAGTCGGAGCAAATGTAAGGAAATGGAGACTGGTGCTTGCCAACGACGATCATCTGTTCCTGAGTGGGTTGGCCGATCGGATGGTCGTCAGTTTCATTCCTCGTTCCTATCCGTTGCACATTACCTGACGAAATCGTTGAATACGTAGCCCGATTCGGTGGAGTCAGCATACCACAATGAAAATGAATGTTCCACCCAATTGATTTGACAGGCCCGCAGCAGTGTGAGACGACAACTCGCGATGCCATGGAAAGAACTCTAAAACTACTCTTAATGCTGGAGTGGTGTGGCAAGTAATAAATAACAACCCATTGAGAGGATTAGTTGTTGAAGATCTCATAAAGCGATGAAATGCGATCCTGGCAATCCGAATCCAGAAATTCAAAGCAGGTCGGTCAATCGGCACAGCAGCACATGCACGTCCATTCACGAAGGAGGATTCGGTAATGACCAAGAATGTTCTACAGCCAATGAATGAGGGGTTTACAACTGCGGTAGTCTATGGTCTGAAAAAGTCGCAGCAGCACAACTAGTATACCGTTGCAAAGTAAGAGGACAATAATAGCACGATGTCTAGAATCCGTGGTTTCTGTTGTAGCTTCGACGCTATGAGATCATCCCCGCAAAATACAACCGTACAGAGAGCAATAGCCTTCTCTATGCAGGAGTTGCAAGAAAAAGTGTATCTGAAAGCTCAAATAACTAATTCATTGATTGTCAATCACAAATTTCTAGGAAATCTGCTTCAAAAGCTGTATATCAACAAGCTCGGGAGCATTAACTAAAACTCGGTAGCAGTCACTAGGACAGGACCGAAACAGGATTGTACGTGGAATCTAAAAGAAATACGTAAAGAATTGCGAGGTGTAATATAACATAATTTGGCACGTATAAGTATCGTATAAAGACGACAATCAAGCAGTTTTGGGTTTTGCTTTGAAAGGATAATTCTGGTGGATGATGGTGCTGGATACCACCAACGGAAGAGCAGCTATAGCGTAACTTGAGGGAGGTTTTCCTTCCACTATTACTTCTAATAGAGCTGTGACGAGCAATGCTGAAACAATGACAAACCCCTGGCACTCAATCCAAAACAAACAGTCAGAACGGTTCACACGGAAGACCTAAGAGAACAGATGCTATTTGCAATGAACGAAGAAACTAAGTGGTAAGAACAGGACAGATAATGCATCTTTCTCAAATACCTGCAAACATTAGCAAGGCAGTTCTGTGAACATAAACATCATATTCAGAAAAGTTGGTGTTGGTTTTGCAAAGTATTCAGCTTCGAAAGTACCTTCTTAATGCCTCCAGAATACTGAGTAACCAACCCCACGAGAATGCCACCAAATGCATTCAAGCAGACTGGAATCTATCATACAAACATTATCAATTGATTAGTGTTGTTACTTGAAAAGAATATTATAGTCGAATTTCAGAGCACAACCATGTGAAATGAAGTGACGAGTATGGATAGTACACAAAATAAGAGGGTAAAAGCTGAGTGCTTACAAATGTCAACAAGGACCAACCATAGAAGAATCCAAGTTTCTGTATGCTCACACCATCAGGAGACCACCACATGCTGGTCAACAAAACTAGGCTTCCATATGTGGACATCTCCAACGTCATCAAATATGTACTTCTGCGTTTTACCTGCACATACATGACGCAAATGCCGCTAGTTGGCATAAAAACTAGTTGACCAGACGGAACAGCCATCTTTCACCTCCCATTCTCTACAGTGCAAGGACAATGGTTTCAACAATAAGCGATATAGGTTCTAAGGAAAACAAGACGTGGTGAGTTGGAGTCAAACCTGGGCGGCCCACTGGCAGAGAGTGGATGCCAAACCAGAGAGCACAGATGCAGATATAATGGGGATAATTCCCAACCACAACGTTGATTCCCATTCAACCTCCTTGATTCCTTGTTTTGGAGCAGTCTTCCCGAGGCTCAACAACGTTGCTGCTCCTAATAGCAGGAACAATGCTCCTATTTGTTGCTTTGTCTGCCTGGACCTGTAAGCCGATCACTTTAACTATTAAATGTGTGAAAACACAGCATGACGCAAGATGATTATCTCAGAAAACCATTGTTGCACCACGGTGTAGCATTTTGAGATATGAGTTAGATCCACTGTAAATGACCCACTGGGTTGATAAGATGCTAAATGAAGATAATAAAAAACATAGCAGTGTAGGATCCACCTCTCGAATACAATCGATTGTTATGTGCCAAAAGGAGATGGCATTGAAAATCCTGGAGATAACCAAGGCCAGACTACTGACTGAAGAAGTTGCGTACCCAAGAAGTAGAAACATAAAAACTGCTGTAAAGACAAGCTTTGTCTGGTTCAAAAGAGAAAATGTAAGTGAATCCAAGTTTCGATATGAAAGCTGAAGGAGGGTGTTCTGCAGGGCATAAATTGCTGCTGGCGACGCAGATGCTTTCAGTGAGTCAACAAAACTCCACTCTTTCGGCAATTTCCACAAGGTGCCATCCCGAGCCATGAAAAAAAGGGCAGCCGCACACTGCACCACATAACCAACAATGACAAACGTCAGGAAAACAGCCAGATAACTTAATGAGAAAAACAGCTAATTGGTCATGATGCATAAATCTCTATAAGTTGAAAGGAGATACACTTGTGAAGCCTCATTCAAAATACGGCCCAGAAGGGCACAAAATGGGGGTTGCCACTCAGGCCTCGCAAGGCAGGCATCAGTTACCCTGTACAACCACTACACGACTATTCAGAATAGTAACGTCGCAAGGTGACTAGCATTATCGACTAAGTGACTGGGTAGTCACCGCTAGAAGCCGAGAATACCTAACTGCAGATTGCATGAACCCTAAATTAGGGTTTTCGCCAGCAACTTGGTGATCAGAACTTCGCGAAGCCTAATGTCAACAAAGTATCTCACCTACAGAAGCAGGCAAGTAGCACCCCTCCAGTAGGTGACAGCGACCATGTACCTTGACCATTTCACATGTGAGTACCGCCGACGTCATGATCACGTACTTCCTGCCACCTCAAAACCAAACCAAACCATCCGTAAACTTCAGCTCCACTCCTGCAGCAACCTCTCTCCAATTTCATCCATGAAGACGGCAATCCCGACTGCAGCGCGAAGGGATTTCCAAGGTAATATGGAGGCAACGAAGTCATTCGGCACCTCAATCAGACGCGGGAGTTCCGATGCCAAACACGGAATCATATTACGTATACCAAACGTTTGCAATTCAACCAAAAATACTGTTCAGTTGGCAATTCACTCATTTCACCATAAATTTCACTCCCAAACCCCTTCCAGATTCTAATTCCGCGCAACTTCCATACTCTGTCTGCTTGTGCCATTCTACTCTAAATCGAATAGCCACCACCGATACAATTTTCAAGAATTATAATCAAGACGTGCACAGTCCACAAAGCAACATCCGATGGAACACTGCACTTCGCATGAGATGATTGATTACTCACAACTCTACCCACGTCTCCAGTCAAGCATCGACAGGAAAGCTCCCACAGACGTGATTCATTCCTTTCTCGTAACCGACTCAAATTGGGAGTGGCATGCGACAGATCACATGAGGTGAAGGAATGGGATGCGAGGCTAAGATAGATTGATAGATGAGTGAGAAAGAGGTACCCAGTAAACCGCTTCGAGATAAGAGGCTGCATCCCATACTGAATTGTGAGCAAAGCCATGCACAGAGCTGCTACGGTTCTCTGTTTCTTCTTGTCGTCGTCATGTTGGGCATGCTGCTGGACTTTCTCCACCTCCTCCGTACCCATAGTCTCGGATCTCCTCGAGCAAAGTGGAGACAAGCTTGCAAAAAAATTCACTCAAAGCAGGAGTGAAGACAACAACAAGCAACAGGTCGTCGTCGTCGTCGATGATCGGGGGAATCAGGGCCAGAGGGTTCAGAAAGGAATATGCTCGACTAGGCTCCACAACAGAACTGTGACACTGCGCATCCTTTTTTTAGGGTTATTGAAAACATTATGGGGTAACAACCTCGATTGGATGGATGGGTGGATGAAATGTACTCGGATGAAGTATTTTTAGCGTTACTACAATTTAGTTGATGTGGTTTAGGGCATGCTTTGCTGCTTCCACAGTAAGAGAATCATAAAGTTTTTGAGTTTTGCAAATAATTGGCCTCAAACCTGCCTTGAAGAATGACGTTTCATACCGATTTCAAGGGATTTTTTTCTAATTTTTATTTTTTTAGTAATACAAACAAATCAAATTACTTTCTAATATATAGATATATATAGGAGAATGTTGAATAGACCCAAGTTTTTATTGAATCAACCTACCCATCCTAACCATCATGAAAGATTTCTCTACTATTAAAACTACAATCAATAAAAACCAACCACATTCATCTTGAATACTAGACTCCTTATCAAAGATGGGTCTATTTAGTAAAAGCATGGATCTATTCCTCTCTATATATATATACATATATACATTTTTTTCTCCCACTATAGGTTGTTTGAATAGAATAATCAATTTTCTAGTTTCATTTCAAGGTGCTAATTGTAATCATATATATATATATATATATATATATATATATATTAGATCTTTTGTTGATGTATGTGTGTATAAGTTATTTTTTTTACAAATAAATACATTAATAGCATGCACTTCATCAATGTTGAAAGAAATAAAATATAAAAAATAGAAGATTAAAAAAAAATTGAACATGCTTAAGATATAAAGACAAAAACTATATAAGGTTAGATTTAGATATTTTTAAGGAATAAATTTATAAGATTGATGAAGTGATATATAATCTTATATTATTAAAAAAAAAAAAAAAAAATCTTAAGAAGTTTGTAAAATATTATAAGAATCTTTAATATTCTTTTAGAAGTTTGTATTAAAGATTATTTAAACTTCTATAATATTTGATTATTTTTAGATTCTCTTCTAAAACTTTTATTAAGGTCTATGTACTATAATGTAAATAAATAAAAAGTAAGACAAATAATACATTAGTCTCACTAATAAATATTTTAAGGAAATTTAGGTGTTAAATTTCTATAGCCTTGTATTTGGTTTTATTTATTTATTTATAATAATATTTAGACTTATAATTTTTTTTAATGAAATATTATTATTCTTATTAAAAAACAAGTCATGGCATAGATATGAGTGCAAGAAACTAAGAAATGAAGAAGTATAAAATAGACATATAAAGTCAAATTTGTGTATATAAATCTTCTAAAAAACTTCTCTATAAGATACAATCTAATTTATTTAACTTACTTTTATTTAATGTTTTTTTTATCTAGATAGTTTTTAATATTGATTATGTTTGTGATATTATCTTTTTTTTTAGAAATAAGTTCTATAAGGAGCAATGATCATGTATTGAAAAAGTCTAAGATGTAATGAATTGGATCAATCACATATTTTGATTTGTGTTTTCTTTGAAGGAAGTTGATAGGTCTTCTCAACTATTTGTCAAGGATAAGAACTTGATAAAAATAAATAAATAAGTGAGACTTTTCTCCAAGAAAGATGACAAAATAAAAATAACTAAATATATATATTAAGAAAGAAATTAGAATGGCTATTTATTTTGGCGCCACCTTGAATCTAGAACTTCTTCCACTTTCAACTCTTCATTATTGTCCACTTCTACAGGAGAAGGTGGAGCTTATCTTCTTCTTGGCATGTCCATTATCTTGTATGGTTCAAAAAGAGATATGTGAAATATTGGATGGATTTTTATTGAATCCGGTAAGTGTAAACAATATGCAACTAGATTGATTTGTATAAAAATAGAAAATGATCCAAGCCTTCGATAGTCCAACTTATCACAAGAATGAGTGGTCTTGATATTATGACAAAGTAACCATACCTTATCACCTATGTGGAATGGTGGTTGTTACTTTCGATAGACATCCGCATTGATCTTTTGTTGTTCTTGAGCTTCTTTTAACTACGCCTTCATTGTTGCATGTAGCTCTGACAAATGAATTGCCAAATCTTTCACCACTGGATAATCAATTTTTGAAAAGTCAAAAGTATCAAGTTGTAGATGATAATCATAATTGACAAAGAAAGGTGTTTGTTTTATAGAAGAATGTATCCTATTATTATAAGCAAACTCTATGAATGGCAAAAGAGTTGTCTAATCATTTTATTGGTAGTTGATGGTATATCTTAAATACTGCTCCAAAACTTAATTAACACACTCCGTTTGTCCATCAATTTGAGCATAGAATACCAAAGATAGTTTTATATCTACTTTTAGAATCTTGAAAAGAGTCTGCCAAAATCTTGATACAAACTAAGTTTTCCTATCTGATATAATATCCTTAGATAATCCATGATAGCGATAGATATTATCAAGAAAGAGATTATTTATTTCTTCACCTATGATAGATTTTGTACATAGTACAAAATATGCCATCTTGGTAAAACGATCTACTATCACGAATATAGAGTCATAAGAACTTAAAATTGAAAGATCCATGATGAAATCCATAGAAACAAAAGACCATGGTTGTTCTAGAATGGGTAATGGCTAAAGAAGTCCATAAGATCGATGACAAAGAGTTTTTAATTTTGAGCAAATATTACAAGATTGTACAAAATCTTTGAGTGCCTTCTATATTTGGGGCTACCAAAAATCCTTAAATATTAGTTCTAAAGTTTTATTGTACCCAAAATGTCATACTGTTGGAAAGTCATGACGAGCTTGAAGAACATGTAATTGAGCTTCACCTTCGGGAACATATAGGCGTCCCTCAAAATATAGTAGATTGTCCTTAAATTCAAACTTGGAAGTATCATAAGACTTTGAAGGGTTTCCTTTAATATCAAAAATAAGAAGATCGAAAGATATATTTGACTGAACTTGCTTAATGAAAGTTGAATCAACAGTTAGTGTTGATTTCATTGTTCGAAGATGAAGTTGTTTTGGCTTCAAGAGAATTATCTATTATTGATCAAAAGCAGCATCTCCTTTCTTTGATATAAGATAAGATTGTCTAGAGAGTGCATCTAACAAACCTTGTTGTTTTCTCGGTCAATAAGTGATCTTGAATTCAAATCTTAGCAAAGACATATTTCAACGGGCTTGACAACGATTCAAAATAGGTGTTGACATAAAATATTCAAGGTTCTCATTATCAGTATAGATAGTGACTGGACTAGAAGCACCTTCTACACAATGGTACCATTCTTGAAACAAATCCATGATTGCAAGAAGTTCTTTGTCGTGGATCTCGTAGTTGATCTGATGAAAATTTTCTAGAATAAAAAGCTATTGGATGAAATTCATCATTTGTTTCCATTTGTGACAATACGGCATCCAAAGCAAAGTGTGATGCATCTATTTCTATAAAAAATGGCTTAGAAAAATTGATGCAATACAAGATTGGTGTAGAAACAAAAGTTGTCTTTAAAGCTTCAAATGTTACTTCTACTTCTTGATTTTTTGAAGTTTATCTTTATAAGTCAAATATGTAAGTAGAGCTATAACTTGAGGAAAGTCTTTGATGAAGATCCGATAGTAGTTGGCAAATTCCAAAAAGCATTAGACATCTCTTACCGTTTTTGGAATCTTCCAATCCGTAATAGCTTCAACTTTCTTAGGATCCATCATAAGTCCATCATAAAAAATCATGTATCCTAAGAAATCGACTTGAGAAGTGTAAAATATATATTTTTGTAACTTGGCATAGAGTCTTATATTTCTTGATTTTTATAACACACGACAAACATAAAAGTCATGTTTATCTGTGTTCTTAGAATAGATTAAGATGTTGTCTAAATAACAGACAATAAAATCATCTAAAAACTCCCTAAAGACATTATTTATTAGATGTTGGAATGCTATTGGTGTATTTGTAAGTCCAAAAGGCATGACGATGTATTGAAAATGTCCATACCTTATTTGAAATGCAGTCTTCCATTCATCTCCTTCTTTGATGCATATCAGATTGTATGTTTTTCATAGATTTATTTTTGTATAGATCTTTTTTCTTCAAAAATAAAATTGGAGCTCTTGCTGGAGATTTGGAACAGCGTATGAAGTTCTTGTTCAGATTCTCTTCAATATACTCCTTAAATTCAACCAACTCATTTTGTGATAAACTATAGATTGGTCCAAATGGTGGTTATGCTCCTTCTTGAAGGTCAATTGAGCAATCATAAGAATGATGTTCCGGAAGAATATCCGTATTTGTCTTCTCAAATACATCTTAAAAATCTTGATATTGGCTTAGAATGCTACTTGAAGTCTTTCTACTAATAGAAATAGGTGCGACATAAATGACACAAGATGATCCTTCTTTTGCAACATGTAAGAAAGCTCTTGCACCTACAAATATAGGTTTAATTGTATAAGACTCATGACTTTTTACTTGATTAACTACACTCTTAGTTATACTTTCAGAAAAGTCAAGATTACGAGAAGTCCAATCTATTTTAGGGTTATATTTTTGTAGCCATGATAAATCTAAAATGAATGGATTAGAGAGAAATCTAATGATATTAAATATTACAAAGCTATTATGACCATTAGTTGTTACTTCTATAAGAAGGGTTTCATGAGTAACATCTCTTGAAGACAACGGACGACCATCTATGACTTCTATATGAACAAGTTTAGTTTTCTTCACTAAAACTATGCTATGTCTTTTAGCAAAATCTTCGTCTATGAAACATGTTGAGGCTCTTGAATCTAACAAGGTAGAAGCTTTGTGATGTTTAGGTCTTGAAATAATATTTATCGTAAAAGAAGGAGAGGGTTCTAAAAAGAAAATAGGACCTTCACTAGGTGTTGTACAAGGTTCCAGCCACATAGTCCCTATTGTAGCTGGATAAACTCGTTTTTTAACATACTATCTTCTTTGATAGTAGTACTTTTTATTTTATGATTGCATCACTTTTTTAAGCAATGTTGAATGGTGTACTTAGGTTTTTGATAATATAAGTATAA